GGGGAGGAGAAAGCCACAACATATACACATGTAACAATCACACGAAAGCATCCAAACACACATCGTAATGATTTATTTGCATTTTGCATGGAGTATGGGGAGCCTTGCCTTCTCCTTTCTTTCAAGTTGGAACTCTGATTTCCCATGTTAACCATAATGCTCCATTACTGTAAACATTTATACACCATCCATTTAAACAACACACATACTCTACACCATTCATCGGAATGGAAAACGATCACAAAAGAGGCCAAGGCGGAACTGCTGTGAAAGCCATAACATTTATTGAAGAGCGGACCTATGTTCGCAAATCACAGCGCTGCATGGGCGTATGATCCATGGTTCGTAATGCTGTTCCAAGTAAGCTTTTAATAGAGCCTTCTCATATAGTCCCTTTTAAAAACAATTAATGAAAGGGGGGGAAAGGTGTCAGTTGCAATTACATTTACAAAAAACCAAACTGCAGCTTTTATTTAGAATGAATCTGTGCTCGGCTACTTAGATGTACACATGTTAATTATTTGGACCTATGCACACATCTCTGTAAGGCAGAACTTTTCCATTAATGATGGCTTTAGGAACCCAAAGAGTATCTCAGAATAGTCTCAAGCTTAGAGAACAGGGCAACAACTGCAATAGAATTTCTACCATTTGCCCCAATTACTATACCACTTTGCCCTCAAGATATTCCATTCAGCATTTTATTTTTGGAGTAATAAAGGAAAATTCATCAGACAAAGGGCATGATACAGAATGCTTCTATAAAAGACACTTCTCATCTTAATGTTGAAAAGTTGACTTTCTTTTGTTCCAATGGAAGAAATGTTGGCCAAATTGTCAAAAAAATACCACGCAGCAGCTCTTAATGTGGAATTTAACCTCCCATTTTCCTCTAAAAGTTATCTTTTAACAGCAACAATAAAAAAACAAAATGTCATTGCCAGGCATTTAAACAACTTAAAGGAAAATTCCTATGTTGGTAAGCAAAAAGAAAAAAAGTTACGTTATTCATTTTTCTCAACTACTGTGGGTTTTTTGTTTTGTTTTGGTTTGTTTGCCTTTCACGGACATATCTAAAACAGTGATCATGGAGTAGAAATTTGATTTTATATTCTTAGAGATTAATAATATGGAGCTAAAGAGTATTTTCCAAAGAATCTAATAGTGTAAAACATATGACGTAGGAATATCTAACCGATGACCACAGAGACTGCTAAGAGTAAAATTAGAAGATTCTAAAAGAGAAAACCTAGCTGATTTGCTTTGCTCTGCACAACTTACTTTGTTTAATATAGCATCTATTATAGCTTTATTCAAAGCACAAGTTGTCAGCTGACTTCTAAGCATCCCCTGAACTTGGCCCTTGGTCTGAACAGAGAACTGGCAATTTCATCAGATTCTTGCTCATGTCTTGTATATGTCTCTGGACATATTATTCTATTCTTTGTCCTTTATTTACTTGAAATTCAGAAATCTTCTACCTGCCTGAACATGACGTTTTGATACCTAATTTAATATTACATGTAAAAAGTTATATGAATCACATATTTTGTCTAAAAATGTAATTCTCTTTAACCTCTCTTTTTGTTATTCTTCAATGCCCATGCAAGGAACCTGTTTACGGTGCTCGACTCTTCACAGACAACAATCCAGATATGTTCATCTCAGTTTTCTGGCAGGTGCTTCCTAGTCACTGGTACATCTGGTTTCTCTTCACATGGAAAAGTCTGCTGATCCACCATCATCCGCTTGGTATCTTGGCTGGGTTTATCGCAGAAGAACCTATGGGGGAATGCCGACTTGCACTCCTAATTTGTAAATCACAGTCATAAAATCCGATGAAAATGCACATATACTACTCACTAATTTGTACACCAAACTTATCAATCTAAATCTGTAAGAAAGAAGAAAGTTGAAGAAATACCTTCATATGTATCTATGCGACTATTTCCCCAGCCTTGAAAAGTGCTGGCTTTACACATTTGCTCATTGTTTTTAAAAATCACATTCCTTTCATTCAATTAATAAACATTTAGAGAACTCCTGCTGAAAGTGGCCACTGTAACCTTTCTATCCTTTCTAAAAGAAAGCAAAGGGGCTTTATTTAGTGGGTTTAAGGCAGCAATAAGGACACATCAATTTATGCTTGAGTTTTCTAGTCAGTTTTAAGGTAATCTCTTTCACGTAGGAGGAAAGAAAGAAGGTCATGGTAAAGAAGGGAAGGGAGGAAGGCACTCAGCACCCACTATGTGTCAAGCACCAGGCCAAGAACTCTGCAGCTGTTTGATGTAGTTTGATGCAGAACTATAGTAAGTATTCATTTTCCCCGTTTAATGGGCAAGGATAAAAAGCTTTTGATGAGTTCAACAACTGTTCAAGACCATTCCCCATGCTACATTATAGCTTATGTTCTAAACAGATTCACTACCTGAAGAGGCAATTGACAGGATTCCAAAATTTGGACTCAGAAAGTCAGAACTCAAGGCTTACTGTTTTTGTCGTTGATTTCATACCACCAACATGCTGTAAATTTCTCGGGACTGAGAAACTGCTTGAGTACAGCTATTCTAATTTGCTTCAATTCCCTTGGTGGGAAGGAGCCCTTGCATTGCCTGAACCAAGAAATATTTTACGTAAAGAAAATCTTTCTTTCCTCATCCCCAAAATTTTGTTAAAAGATGAACTGAAGAAAAATTTTGCTATACTCCTCCAGATTCCTCAGTGTTGTGAAGTAAAAGTCTCTACTTAATGTCTCTTGAAGTTCTAGGAAATAGAAATCAAGATACTTCTCTAGTTCTGATAACATAGTTGTCCCTTAGCTACTTCCTTTACCTTTACCTATTAAGGACATTATGAATGTAAGATAAAATTTAAAAATACTATAAAAAAATTACTCATCCTAAGAGTAACTGTCTTCAGATACAATTCATGGTAAGACTACTTCCTTTCTCTTATATTCTAAGCTCTTACCTGACCTTGATTTAATGAAAAAGAATTAAGGGGTTCCTTTAATACCTCTCTGCTTAAAGCTTTCTCTCTCTGGCTTTAGGTAAGAAGTCTTTCAAGTCCTTTGGTTTTCTCACTGTTCTAGATTGTGACTCTTAATTTAGGTAGGATATCATTATTTTCAAATTCCAATAGCAGACACCAAGAAATTTAAATTCATCAAGCTAATTGAAGTTAGACATTACACAAATAGAAAATAAAACTTGAAATGAACAGAGTCCCTTTTTTTTGGTCGCAGTAGATTGCATTATAATGCCAACGGTGAAAATAATAGATTTTTCAGACATTGGGTTCTTTCTAATAACAGTTCAACAAATGCATGGAAATGCACATCTGTGAAATAAATCTGCCTCAGATGCTGCATCTGGAAATGAGGTCTTGAACAGGAAGCCATTTATTATCACAATAAATTCGATCTGTAATCTATCCAGACCTCCCACTCCTTAAGAAAAATCTAGCTTGGAAATTTGAAAGACTCTGGTTCACTTGGAAAAAAAAAAATGATGAAAGGTTGATTGGAGTCTAATCCTTACTTATCTGCAAGCTACATATAGTTTAAAGGACAATTTATACATGCTCGCAAGCTTAATTTCCTTGCATTTGCATTTAAGAATGAGACTGATTTTATAGTATCGAAATTAATCTCTAAAAGTAGATAAACTATGTAAACCTTAGATTTTTAAAGCAGTATTGTAATAAAATTGTCCTTGGAGACCTTAACTGCTCACCTAGGGACCAGCATGCACCAGGAAGAAAATGCACGTAAACTGCTTTTCCTTTGAGAGTTTCCTACTCTTGAGCATCACAATGCTGAGGCAAACTTTAGCAGATCCTGTGTACTTCCAAGTAGTGCAAGAAAGATTCTGTAACAGGACTGATGGCTCATGGGCTCTCAGAAGCTGCCTGCCCCCGAAGCCTGTGGCAGACTTGGACCTTCTTTGATAATTTCCTTTCAATTAAATGTTTGGTCCCATCAACTTGGTTGTATTTTCTAAGCAGGAAATAAAACTACCCGCAGCCAAAGGCAAGAATAGTAAGAATTAGAAAGACTCCAGATGTGTCTTGATTTCCTTCCCCCACTCTATCCTACTCTCCTTTTGGGCTGTGGTTATGTAAGGTTTGTAATGGTCGCTGCCACTGCCAACTTCCCTGCCCCCACAGGCCTGACATCAGAATCCTGGGGTGGGGGGAGGTGGGATCCGGCACAGCACTGGTCAAGACAGTCCCCAGGGAGTGAGGAAAACTAGAGATCAAGTTACATAGCAGATCTTGCTCAGTTGTCAGTGAGAGCAAGGCACCCTTCCTGGTGCTAATACTACACTTCAGCCAGGTTAAATTAAACATGAGAAGTTAGAAAAATCTCTCTCCCCTTGCTGATGTTCCTCAAATTCATCAGCTTTATGATCCTACCTATATACGAAATAACTATGAAAAGCACCTTAAAATAAGGGAATTCCATCACCAAACTATTCTATGGAGAATTATATAAAATATCTCAGCCCATAAAAACATAGTCCCATATGAAGTGAAAAAAAAAGATGTATGCTAAAATATTAAATTAAAGCTCCTAATTCTCAAGTTAAAGGCTCATAGGGAAAGGATGCAATGATGAGCTAATGCCAGAAACCTGCTTTTTGTCTTGTATTACACTTAAAATTAGTTATCACCCAAATGCCTCGGCCAACCTCATTTATTTTCATCAAGAATTCAGAGAATGGAGGGGAGGATCCCCAAAATAGGCACAAGACCTGATCTCAAAACCAGACTCAGTATTTCTTTATGTATGATGTTTCACTGCCTCGTTTCTAGCTATTATAAGTTAGTTACCCAGTGTACTAAGTTGATTATTCCAGAATTTTTCCAAGAAAAAAGTTAAGCTGATGAGTATTTCCAGGGTCATCATCCATTTCCCTTTGTGAAAGAAGGTTCTAAATATGCCCATTTCCAGTCTTCAGGCACCTCATGAGTCCTCCACGAGTTCTCAAAAATGATATCTAGCGGTTCTGTGATGACTTCGGCCAATTCATTAAGTACTCTAGGATGCCAGCCATTGGGACCTGTGGATTTGAACATATCGGGGTTACTGAGGTTCTCCTTTACCCATTCTTCCCCTAGTCCATCATGGATTCCTGCTCCTATTTTTTTTTAAGTAAACTCGACTCTTAATGTGGGGCTCAAATTCACGACCCCGAAATCAAGAGTCACATGCTCTACCAGCTGCTCCTATATTTAAGTCACAATTGTCCTTTTCTGGTTACCACATGGACTTCCGAAAAAAATATCTTTTTAAAGGATTTTATTTATTTGTCAGAGAGAGAGAGAGAGAGAACAAGCAGGGGGAGCGGCAGGCAGAGGGAGAAGCAGGCTTCCCGCTGAGGAAGGAGCCTGATGTGGGGCTCGATCCCAGGACCCTGAGATCACGACCCGAGCCGAAGGCAGATGCTTAACCGACTGAGCCACCCAGGCATCCCTGAAAAAATACCTTTAAGTCTCTGCTATTTATCTATCCATTTTTTCCTTGAAGCTACTAAATGAAAAATGTATTTTATTCTTCTCCAGGCTGTCTTGTTTAAAAACATTGTTTTTCCTTTTATGTTTCTTGTAAGAACAAGTAAAAAAAAAAATTAATGAAAGTATATCTTGCAACAGTTTGTCTCCCTAAATCACACCACTCCCTACCATACTTGAGCATCCTTTGTAACAGAGTTATAGTCGACACACTTGGAGACATTCTACAGGCCACCCATCTGGTGCTCAGAGGGTACAGATCTATGCAACTTGTATCTGCAAGTGCTAATTCAAAAAGCACTTTCTGAAATAAAAAAGATTCACAATCATCTTTAACCAGAATCATCTGTATGCACAAACAATAACTTTCTTCACATAGGCATTTAAAAAACATAGCTGTGCCTGAGCTGGAAGAGATGAGGATTCTCTACGAAGCAGGACCCTGGTAGAATTCATCTATTGTGGTGTGGTCATCTGTGCCAATGTTCTGGGACTGCTATTACACTAATTATCGCCGAACTCTGATAGGTGTTGACACCCTTTGTTGTCACAGTGATGCCTCCGAAACTGAAAGCCAGCCACAGATTACAGTTTCCTGCCCACATGTCGCTGTCTGCCCCAAATCCCCTGACAGATCTACAATAGACAGAGGGGAGGAAGAAAGAGAGAGACTCAAAGGAAGAAGGAGGGTCCCCGAGTCTTCTGTGTGATTTCTGATCTGACAGACCCACTGTGCCCCTTGGATTCAACTGTTGACTTGTTTCGTTTTGTTTATCAATTCGAAAAGCTTTTGGTAAAGGTTGAATCAATTTTGTTGTCTTTTGTTTTGTTTTTCTCAGTCTCCATCTCTCCAGCCTTACCCCCAGTTTCATCTCTCAAAGCTGTATTAAGTAAAAAAAAAAAAAAACCATGTTGCACACATCATTAAAAGACTGTTTTAAAAAATAGTTCTGCACATTTCTCTAGGGTACAACAATTTGTTTTAGCACATGCCATTTTCATCCCTGCTCAAATAGCCACCTGCTGATGGCAATATGTTAACTAACGTGTCATTATTAATTAGTTTGGGTAATATCATCCAACAATTACATCTAAATGGAGAAAAAGTGCTACTATCCATGTTCAGGAAGTTTGTTTCTCCAGGGAATCAAGCTCTTTCTGGGCCTTTTTTTTCCTATATTACTAAATAATAATATCGTACCACTAATTATTAAATGCAAATAGTCCCTTAAGTAAACTCGTATCTAAGGCAATGCCTCTATTAAAATTGCCTTCTGTTACAAACTGTGGAAAAGTAATGTTCAATCTGTTTTGACAAATTAACTTTTTTGGCGGGGAAGTTTGTAGAGGAGGGAAGTCACGCTAATATAAAGAAGGCAAGACTGTTTTTTTACTATCTATTTATTTATTTATTTGAGAGAAACAGAAAGGGCATACGAGCAGGGGGAGGGGCAGAGGAAAAGGGAGAGAGAGAGACTCCACACTGAGTGCAGAGCCTGATGCAGGACTCGATCCCATGACCCTGAGATCATGACCTGAGCCAAAATCAAGAGTCAGAGGTTTCACCCACTGAGCCACCCAAGCGCCCCAAGACAGTTGGTTTCTAATGCTGAAACAGGTGAATGAATGAAAAGGCATTCCACCAAAAACTATACTGACTATATAGTGCAAGAGAATGCATTTCAAACTGAAAAAGCAGAAAGTGCCTCAGGTTACAGCGTTACAGGTTTCTGAGATGGCAGGAGGACCACAGCCAGGCTCAAGGAAGAGTCACAGAGGGAAGGAAGGAGGCGGCCGCACCTTGAGGACAATCTTATTAGAACAGAAGATTCTCAGATGCCTGCCCATGCTAGATACCGCTCTGCAAGTCACAGAGATGGCCTCACCTACCTTTAAAGGTCATTTTTATTCAAGGAACCTCTTAAAGTAAAGCAAATGCCTTTGGACAGGTTATCACCTGCAAGCTCAGACACCCTCCGTATTAAACGCCTGCAAAGATGTGGAGCACGGAATCATTCACAAATCTAGCATCAAGCTGACAGCCTCCGAAACCTCCTGTGCCTTTGGTTCAACAAAAACAAAGCACATTCATTAAAGAAGCCCAGCCTTGCAGTTTGCTATTTTCCGTTCTTTGCGGGAGAAGGTAGGAGGCAGACAAACGGGATTGCCGCTGCTGGGTCACGGAGAGTTTCCCGATGCGAGAGCGGTCGCGGGGAGCGGGCGTTAGCCCAGCACGGGTGGCTTCGTGCTCGCAAGGAAACATCGCTGAGCTCCCCGTTACAAATGCGGGGGCTTCCTGCTCTGGCGGACGACAGGTATCGTGACATCCCTGCTCCTGCTCCTGAGAGATCCCGCTCCTCGTGTCAAATAGAAATGAACAGATTTGTAAAGTTCTGGTCAGCTTTAAGGAGAAAGCGGCTGTAATACATCCAGTCACTGTATCCTTTTAAGATGAGGACAGTACACAGGCATCGCCAGTCTGGCCTCATTTCACAGAGCTGCTCTCCCCTCCACCATGCTTTTTTCGTATTTCCCTTCCCCCCTAAATTATCTGGCATATGCCTACCAAGAGAGAAGCTCTTTCTTCACTCCACCAAGAAAAAGAATAATCTTCTTATATATATCTACCAGCTTCTTTGGATACAGGGCTAGGCTGACAAAAAAAATCATTCATGGCATTGTCTCAACTCTGGTCCTTTCTCGAAAATCATGAAAGCCAACCTCGGGTACAATAAATAGCAGGTTATATTTTTGGTTCTATTAATGCTCCTGCGGTTTTGCTATTATTATGTGAAAAATGAAGGCCAGTCGTTTGTTTGTAATGTGCCAAATTATATCTCCCTATTTCTAGGGAAACACTGCTAAAACAAACCAAAAAACAGGTGTCTTAGTTGGCCTAATTCTCCCCCTTCCTGCCTTTGATCAAGACCAGTCTCAATCAGAGTTCTTACATTAGAGCCACATAAACCTAATTCTTGAACTGAATTGCGACCTTCTCAGTTTTGTTTTAGGCTATTATGGGGAATGGGAAGGGTAGGGGGAAAGTCTTTCATTTCACAGATATTTGGCAATTCTCGTCTATGTTAGAGTTCCAATCTGAGAAACAGAGAGGGGCAGCAAAAGTTATTGAATGAATAAAGAGACTCTTGTCCTGTGGTTAACAATGAAGATTTATGAGATTACATTTTTTCCTCAGTTGATTATTCTGAGTTTTAACTGATTTCAAGTCTGTTACTCTTTTTAGCTTGTGATTTCCCCCCCTAATTAAAGACAATCAGAGTTATATGGAAGCTACCCCATATAAAAATTATTTCTCTGTTGTGTTATTATTCTAAAGGACATAGCTCCATTGCAGATGTAGAATCAAGAGACAGAAAATCTCTGCATTTGGTTGCTGGGATAAACACACACAACTAGTGAGTGTACATTAATAGCCCACATAATTCCTTACAATGGGGGGGGTTGGGGACAACTGTCTCATAGGGAAAAGTTAAGATTCATGGTACAAATACTACTTTCTCTCCTTCTGGATGACACAAGGGGCACAAAGCTGAATCTATGGGTGGTCCAGTGACAAGATAAAAAGGGTTTTTTAGGTCATGACTTTCTCAAGCTAAGCTTACCAACATTCAGCCACATCACATTGTCTCTCATTATGGAATGGTTAGAATTTCCTTTAGAGAGAGGGCACTTAAATTCAGCCTCATTTTAACTGTAAACTTCTCCAAGGGCAGAAACCACATTTCATACTTCTTTGTATCTCCAGTGGGAATACACACACACACACACACACACGTACATACACACACACACACACATACACTACTACTGCTGATTGAATCATCCACAGTATAATTTTTATGTATAATTTCTCAGTAAAATAAGTTCCTATTGGAAAATATCAGTCTAGCAAGTCAGCTGGGAGTATATTTTCCTTTGCCTATCCAACAGAGAAAAACCTTTCAATATATATCCACTCTACCAGTATGTATCTTTAACGGTCACCTTTCAGTTCCTCAAAAAGCTTCTGAGGGTCCCTTAGGGAAGGCCAAGACTGCCTCCCAGACCCCAATAAGCCAGAGGATGCACTCTGATGTTATAAAATTAGTTGGCATCCATGTCCTTTTTCTGCTAGAGGAGTCTTACAGGGCAGATTTCCCAGGGACTTTTGTCCAAGACAAAAAAAAGGTTTGACCTACTCCAGAATGATCTACGTATATTTTCTTTTTTTGACTTTAAACACAAACACCCAAATGCTATATAAACTCTTCTGTACAGTTCTCCTATTTGTCTTCATCTGTGGTGTGTCCTTGTCAAGAACCGATTTACCATCTAGCCCCTGGAAAAAATTCAGTGGGATACAATAAACTGCACAAGCATGCTTCTCACTCCCTCCACTGACCCACATGGGTTCTAAACTTCACTCAGGACTTATCTGCAGGTTTTCAGCAAATGGAAAGTATGCCAGAGAGGCTTGAAATTTTCTTACCTGCCTATTAGTCAGCAAACTCTCAGGAACAAACTCAGAGGTTAAAACACAAAAGTGTCT